TTCCTCCAGAGTTAGAACTTACTCCTGCTGGAAAGACAGAAAGCTCCTGTCATACCGTTCCCTGCCATCATCGCCTCTCGAGGGCCCTTTGGAACGTGTTCTTCAAGAGCAGTCTGGAGGGAGCACCCTTCTGAAGCATGTTTCAAACGCTCGGGGTCTGCTCTCTTGAATTGCTGCATTCGCTGTAGTACCATCTCCGCTGCCCGGGGTTTGGAGGGACTTGGCACAGTCACAGTCAGACAGGAAGGAGGGGGCTGGGAGTTGCAGTTAGGAGCAGCCTCTGAGAAGGAAAATATTCAGATGTCTATTCTAGCTGAAGAAACAAAACTCTTCCTCCAAATACAGATAAGATCCAAGTTTCAAAGGGGTCCTTTACCAACTAGTTTAGGTTTAACTCTCCAGTGTGAATAGGACTGATTATTTGTTGGTAACCTCACTGTTTATGGTAAAATAAATGTACCTGTCATAAAGATCTATGACAGGAGAGGGAATGGAGAGTGACTACTAATGAGCACAGGGTTTATTTTGGGGCAATGAAAATGTCCTAAAATTAGGTAGTGGTGATGGTTGCACAACTCTATAAATATACTAAAACCATTGAGCTGTATACTTTAAAAGGGTGAATTTTACAGAATATGGATATCTCTATCAAACTATTGTTAAAGAAATATTAATTACAAACATTTATATTTTTCTAGGTCATAAGTTCCCCTTTAACTTGGTGTCCACAGAGGCCTCCAGTAGGGATCCATGAAGCCCCTGAAGTTATACGTCAATTTCTCAGGTATGTGTGGGGGTGCAGTTTTCTGGGGGAATCATGCATACCTTTCACTAGACTCTCAGAGGGAGCATGAAGGACCAAAAACATTTCAGCAACATTACTGAAGCTTTACAATAGTCTCTGTGAACTAATTCTTTACCACCATTCCACTGAGGTTGTGCTGACCACACTGGGTAAAAAACATATTAAGATCAGGAAGTGAAGGTGAGAAAAATTTAGTAACACAACTCAGGTGCCCAAAGATCTTGTGCTGTATTATATATGCAAGGCTGGTTTTCAGCTTTGCATGAAGAACGTATGCTAAGCATATGATTTAGTATATCAAGGGCAGCAGAGTAAGAGAGCTGCTTTAAACAAATGAACCTCCCCTTCTCCCCCCAAAAAAGAAAAAAAAAGTTATTTGGAGGAGAAAGGAAGGACCTAAAGATTCTCCTGGAACTTAAATCCATATGGTACCCACTGTGGAATGAATTTGAGAAAATGGGAGAAGCAGCATTATTTTCATGTTCATGTAACTCATGTCAACTATATAATATAAACAATAATAGGAAACTGAAAGAGAAGAAGGCCCCAAACATAATCATGTGGAAAATTCACAAAGGGGTTATACTTTTTATGACTATTATTTAAAATGGGAGTCCGCAAATTATGGTCCTCGGGCTGGCTGCCTATTTTTGTAAGTGAAGTTTTGTTGGAATACAGCTCATTCACTTACATATTGTCTAGGGAGGTGAGGAGTTGTGACAGAGACCAAATGGCCTGCAAGCCAAGAAAATTTACTACGTGGCCCTTTACAGAAGATTTTCCAACTCCTGGCTTAAAATAGTACAAATCACCTCTGGTTTCCTCTCTGGAAGTTCTGGCAGTGTTTCTGGCTGGGTTACCTGTCTGCGTACTCCATGCAGTCTTCCAGAGCACAGCAGAAGCAAGCACACTTCCCTCCCCATTCTCAGAGGGAGCTGGTTCACTCTCTTGCCACTTTGGTACCACTTGCTTTTTTGTCCTTGTGGTCTGGCTACCAGATCGAGTTTTCCTCTCCCTGGGGCCTTGAAGGGCTTTGCTCTTGGTAGCAGCTGATTTGGTCCTTTCCAGTTTGCTTGTTATCTGAGTGATGTTTGAGGCCTTTTTTGTCTTCCTTTCCCCTGACACTTCCTTGGTGCCATTCTTTTTCACCCTTTGGAAAAAACTGGCACAGAGTTCCTTAAAGTCATCATCTGACTCATCCATCATCTGACCAGTTTTAAGGCTTTCAAGCTTGTTTTCAGAGAAGTGAGGGTCAATCTGGGGCCCCAAATGAGCCTAGTTAGGCCTCATTCAGAATCACAGCTTCATTAATTCTCACTGAAATACCTGGAGAGTTTGCACAACTGAGCAAAGGGGACTGTTTTTTCCTCTATAGTGATTTAAAATGTCTTTCTTCAAATTGAGCCTGTGTTAAACAGCATATTTAAAGCTTCCCTCTGTTAAAGTTCACATTTGAGAGGTTCTGTTGTCCAGTAGATGCCTCTGAGATAGAATACATATGAACTTGGTGCTCAGGTGATTCTTCAAGATCTCCATGGTGAAAAACCACAACACTTGGTTCATTTAATTTCACATCTGTGGAAAACCAAAAGCATCTAAGTGTAATGAGACAGATATTGTCATTTGATGCCCTTCCTTCCAGGAAGGTATAAGAGCATATAGAGGATAGTAGTAACAATACCCCTGTCACTACTCCGGTAGAACCTGATTAACAAAGAGCCATCATCCTATAGGACATCACAACACAACCAGGGGGCAGGGGGGTGGTGTCTAGAAATCTGTCAAAATATGTTCTTTCACCAGAAGAAAATCTTGGGCATCTTGAAAAAGTATTGTTTTTGCTGAAATCTAGGGAATGAATCCCATGAAGGACAGTCACCACAAAAACATGATTCCAAATTCAGAAAAAGTATCTCCTAGTTCTACCCTGGTCCAAGGCCTCCAGCTATCAGAAGCTCTCTCAGCAGGCAATGGAGAGGGAGAGGGAAAGGGAGGGAGGGAGCAGAGAGAGAGAGAGGGAGAGGGAGAAAGGGAGAGAGAGAATATGAGAGAATGAGAATATGATCTTGAACACTCAGGAGATAGGAACAAAGAAAATACAAGAACACAGGGGACTCATTCTTCATTGATACAACCAATTTTCCAATTTTAAAAAAAGGCTCCTTTCTCCATCCTCTCACCCCAGCAAGTTCTCTCCAAACTCAGGGGACTAGAATGCTGCCCAAATGCAAAGGTTGGGCCTTAAGGGCATGATTAGTTACATCAGCACAGTTTAGTGGGGTTCAAAAATCAAAATTGAATAACTCAATGACAGAAAGTTCATTTCAAATTCAATAATGCAATCTCCACTGTCCAAGTAATCTGATTAATCATCTAGTTTTCCAGATTTAAGCAGACACAGACCTAGAATCTCCTTAGCATGGCTGGCTCATTCACATATTCCTTGCCACCTCCTTAGAGAAGCTTCCCCTCATCTTTTAAGTACAGCCTCTCCACCCCTATTACTTTCTTTAATCACACAGTTTTCACAATAGCATTTATTACAAGTTATAATCATATATAACAGATAACATTTATTGAATGCTTACTGTATGCGAGAAACCAGTCCAATTGCTTTACAAGTCTAATTCATTTAATCCTTACAACAATCCTATTCAGTAGAACCTATTGTCATCAAGGAATCAAGCGCAAGTATGAGGAACTGGCTCAAGTTCACACAGCTTTTGAAGTGGCAGGGCTGGTATCAAATCTAGACATGATTCCAGGACATCAGCTCTTATATTTTTATTCATTTACTTATTATCTGTCCCTTACTAATATTAAAACTTGAGGAAGGCACAGATTCATCTATTTTACTTCAAATTTTCTTTCGCTGATAGACACTTGACTTGGAAAAAGTGATCGGCAATTAATTGTTGAATTAATTAACTGCAAAGAGTTGGGTGCAATCGGAGCGGAGACAGTGGGGGTGGGAGAGAAGGCTTCAGAGAGCAGCAGAGATCAGTGTCCTAGTGCTTGGAACGTCAGTCTAACCAAACTGAATTTTATCCTGTTGGATGTGTGGAGCTAAAGCAAATTCTACCCTCCACACTGCTGTCTCCAATCTCTGTTGTTAAAATATTCCGTCTCCTATACGTACTCTACCAGTATTTGCTGAAGGAAGTAGCGGTTCCCAGAAGACCGCAAGTTTCCAGAGGGCCGGGGATTTGTGCCTACTCAGCGTTGTACCTACCGCGGCGCCGGGCTCATAGCAGACACGGAATGAATGGGCAGGTGAGGGGCGGACCCTCCCGCTCCCGTCAACCCGGTAACACACGGGAAACCGGCAGGTGACTCAACCTGGGGTAGTGCTGTCAAGGACTCTGACGGCGAATTATGATCGCCAGGCTGACCCCAGGGCAGTGGCTTCGTGGGTATTTGGACGCCCCCCGCCTCTCCTCCCTTCAGGAGGGCCCGGCCTCCTCCACCCAAGCGCAGCTCCTGCCTCTACACCGCGGCTGGAAGCGGGCGAGAAAGGGTCTTCTCCCTCCGGAGAGTGAAAAAGGCCCGAGATGGCGGGACCTCCTCCTCCCGGGTACAGACTCCTAGCCCCAAAGCCCAGCCCCTCCTACCTCTGGCGCCGCCGCGGCACCCTCTCAACGGAGAGCCTCGAGCCTGCGCATGCGTTGCCCGGCTACCCCGCGGAGAATTGCGTCTGCGCAGGCGCAGAGCAGGCCGGGAGGCTTGCTTCCCATCCTCCTCTGCGGCTCGGGCGCGCAGCGGAGTGTAGTTCCGGAGGGCGTGAAGCATAGCGAGGCAGGGCCCGGCGGTGCACGGTGGGGCGTAGTGTCCCAGGGCTCTGTTGACCGCAGGGTTGCATAGTGGCTGCAGCTGCTGGTGCAGTGGCGCCCTACAAAGTACTAACTGTTGAGGAAAGGCTGGGGTGAGTTCAGGGCACCGCCACAGTTTTAAGTTGAAGTTTGGGTCCGCCACTGTTCACACAGGAAATGTTTGCCGATTTAATGGCGGCCCTCAGAGCGCACAGGCCTGAGGAGCCGACCAGTTAACGATGGGAGGGGGATTTGGAGACGCACCAAATGCGGCCTGACGGGGCGGGAGAGCTTCCTTCCCGGAGGTGGTAGCGAACCGGTGGAGGCCTGGAGGTGCTTGCTGAGGCTGAGATAATACCCACGGTCTCCAGCTTGGCTGGAGGGGTTTCCCACGGGCCGAAATTTGAGGGAGTTTATAAATCCTATTAAGGGTTTGAACTCCAACCTGGGGTCATTGGAAGCCGTTGAAGATTTTGTTTTTAAAGGACCTTCTAGTCTCAGTGTAAAAATGGATCTGGAGTGGCAAGACTATAGGCTGCTATAATTTAGGTGAGAAATGAGGGTGGCCTGAATTGACATTTGGAGTGGAGAAAATGGAGAAATATTAAGACGTTTGAATTGTCATGACCCAATTATTTAAAATTTGTAGATTTCTGGCCCTAGCACTGAAATAATGGAATATAGGAAGAGTAGGTTTGGAGGGAAGAGAATAATACATAGAGGTTTTTAAATATATGTAAATATATATATAATTCACATTTACATACAAAATTCACCCTTTTAAAGTGTACAGTTCAGTGATTCTTAGAACATTCACAATGTTGTGCAACTGTCATCACTGTCTAATTCCAGAATATTTTATAACCCCAAATAGAAATCTTTGTACCATTCGCAGTCACTCCCATTACCTCTTACTCCATTCCCTAACAATCACTAATGTACTTTGTTTCTATGGATTTGCCTATTCTGTACATTTTATACAAATGGATTATTACAATATGTGACCTTTTCTGTCTGGCATTTATTTAACATACTGTTTTTAAGGTTCATGTTATAGCATGAATCAATTCATTTCTTTTAATGGCTGAATACTGTTCCCTTGTATGGATATAACACATTTTGTTTATTAGCAGTTGATGGACATTTAGTCTGTTTCCATTTTTTGGCTAGCTGTTATAAATAATGCTGCTGTGAACATTCACACACAAGTTTTTTGGGTTTTGTTCTCTTTGCTATATACCTAGGAGAGTTATTGCTGGGCCATGCTATATTTTGGTTCTGAGTGTTGAGTGTCAAATGCTAATATAACTTCCAAGAGCTTTAATGTATGAAGAAGTTTAGAAGTTGTTACTTGGTTTTGGAAACCTAAGTTTGTAGTATGATTTCCAAAAGGATCAGTTAAGTAGACAGCACTAGAGTGGTAGGCAGCACACAGGAATGGGTGTGGTGGGGTGTCGCATTTGTACTGGTGGGATTTTAATTTATAGGGATGACTGGGTGAGTATGGAGAAGCCAACACCATTGAAAGAAGAATGTATTGCATTTCTGGAGAGAAGAAGCATGCCACACCACAGGAAGATTTTGGCCGGGAGGCAAAAGTAGTATCAAGGGGAAAGCTTAGGTCAGAGCCTTTGTTCCATGAGAAAGATAAGGCAGGGCAGGGTAAGTCTTTAAGGTTGGCTAGTTTGAATAATTTTGGCAGGCTGTGGGCAGTTGGAATGGTCTCTGGTTGCCTGGTACCTGGCCCTGGGATGATTTAGAGTGGAGGCAATATTAGCTTGGGCTTTGAGAGTTAAAGGAGTTGATTGCTTTGCATATAAGAGACTGCTGCCAAGCAAGTTGATTACTGCTTTAGGAATTAGCCAGCCCTGGAAAGGGCAGTCTCCCCACCAGCAAGATTTTTAAGATGTGAAAACATAAGATACAGAAAAAAAATTTAAAACATGATTAATACACAGGGACAAGGCTGGGATGATGTGAAGGACAGTTGTAAAGGTGGCACTTATTTTTCTTCAGTCAAATTGAAAATGAAGGGCCTGAGTCTAATTTAGGATTTAAATCTCTTAGAGGCCCAGGGAAGAAAACGTTCCCCCACCCCCCAATCTGGCCATACAATATTCTTTTAAGTGAAATGAGTTAGCTGGAGTGTAGAGAAGGGAGTGTTCCTTAAACCTTAGATTCTCAACTGAATTACCTATGGAATATTTTAAACTGGAAATGCTTGGACACTGCCCTTATACCTGCTGAATAAATCTTCGGCAGAGTTTCTGACCTGTTTTTTTTGCAAGTTTTACAGATGATTTTGATAGCTTCTAGGTTAGAGACTGATTGGTCACTACATTTAACCAATACCTACTGAGCAAATCCTATAGGCTAAGTATAAAAGAGATGCCAAAAACTGGGTGAGGGGTAATTGTGATATAGAGTTAGACATGAGTCTTCCCTTCAAGGAACAAAGTTCTGGGGCAGCTTTCTCTGGGCCAAGGTGAACCATGAGAACCCCCTTGACCTGGACTCTGTTGTGACTTATCTCCAGCAGAAGCTCTGAGGTTCACACTCTTCCACTAGAACTAGGCAGGAGTCATCCAATGTGATTAAGCTGAAGGGCAGTGTCCAGAAACAATGTGTTATTAGGTCCGTGTTATTTCAATGGGAATACTATATGTTCCCTGCCAGCATTTGTGGCAGGACTGCACTGCCAAAACACATAAGCTAGGAACATGAAGGAACATTTAATATATTAAAAAGTCAGGATTGTCCTTATGTTTGATGAACCTTCCAAGGTTTATCAGAAAGACAAAATGGATGCAGAAGTGTGTGGAAAAATTAAGACACAACGTATTCTAAGTAGAGGCTCTGTTTTCCAAGCCCTTAGGAGTAGATCATTTTTGGATCCAGAAGGGGAAACAGGCAAAGGTTGAATATGCTATGATTATCACTTCCTTGCCCTTCTGGAATATTTCCTTTTTGGAAACTTTCAGCATCTTCCACTGAGCTAATGTTTTAAACAGTTCTGTGGAAGAAATGAAAGGCCCTTGTCCCAGTTCTGTGGTTTGGTTATAAATCACAAAACCAAAACCTGCCCAGCTACCTCTCATTTATTTTGGCAAGCGTTGGGGAGAGGGAAGATTGAACAAGGGAAGAGTTGTCTGTCTTCCCAGTATTTTTGTCATATAAACTTTTATTTACTGTTGTATAATCCTGTTCCCTACACTGCCAAAATTGTTGAAATCAGGAAGGGAGATGACTGTTTTACATATCAAAGTGGACAGAAGTCATTCTAAGTTATGCTGCATTTCTGTCTACCACTGCCACCTTTTGTGTCATACAGTTCTATTAATATTGCTAGATGGGTGTAAGGGGAGATTCCATACAGATATACTGGCCTCAACTGCAAAGCAGTATTTTCCCTAATAAAGTTGATAATGGTGCTCATAGTTTTTTTTTTGCAAACAGATTTGATTTATTTTTTGCAAATTAACAATTTTTATTTCTTTTTTAAAAAATTTAAAATATTACAAATGTCCCTTTATCTCCCCAATGACCCATTCCACCCCAT